ATGCACATCTGCAAGGCCATCAGCAGCCAGCTGTGACAGCACAACTGTGACAGCTTGTGGTACCACTGACAGAGTCACTCTTTGGTACAGCCGTAAAGAAATGGACTCCTGGTTTTATTTTATTCCTTTATTTTCTCCTCTTCCAAGTCAAATCCAGGTTGAAAAGAGCCATCCTCCCGGTGACTGCTGTGAGCCGACAGGAGCCCAGTGGGGAACCCTGTTGAAAGTTGGCTATGGCTTCCAAGCTGTGGTTTGGCACACGTTCTCTCCAAGACCTCTGCCAAATATTCAGATTTCTTTTTAGTGTTTGGTTGCTTTTCTTTCTTTTCTTTTCATGTTGGCATTTTATTTAGGGGGACCACGTGAGTTCAAGGCTGTTAGTTTGATACGCTTTGTCACCAGAATGGGCCGTTTTGAGTTCTTTGCTGGCAGGTAAAAATACTAGGTGTATGTGGAAGGTGAGCAAATTGCGTTGAGAGGAGGTTGTAGTAAAGGTAACATGAAGTGGTAACGGTGGTATTGGGTCTGGTTAGTGTGTGGGAATTTGGCCTCACCTTTGCATGCCAAGTTAGAGAGACCTTTGGTTCCCACTAGCAAAGTGTGGGCACCCACAAAACTGATCTTCCTTCAAAGGTGTTAAGACATAAGTTCTCCAGCAGTTGGGCTTGGTGAGCCCAGGAGAGGAGTGTTGAGGGTCATCCTCCATGACTTCGCTAAATTTTCCTTTCTGAAGGGATTCCAGTGTGAGCCCTTTATGGGGTTGAGCGCTGGCCGGGGAGTTGTGTCAGCTGTGGCAGCATTGTTCTGGATCAGCCAGAATAAGAAATAGCACTAATAAAAACCTTCAGCTGAGGTTCTCTCCCTTACTCTGTGTGTGCCTGAACACTAAATTAACAAAAATCCCAGATGTGAATCTATAAACCATCTGTTTAAAATAACCATTGTGCAGGGCTGTAATTAAAAGTTATTTATGATGAATCTTGGGATCCTATTATGGATTTGACTGACTCCCAGGTTTCTGACTTAGCAAACAGTTTATGTATTTATGAGCCATGTGTCTCTTCCACACTTCTCGGTGCCAGAGTGCACGTCCTTTAAACAAAAGGAACAGAAAAATCCCCTACCCTCTCATAACTGTTGGCTTCTGAATGTTGCCGTCTAAAAAGTTTTCTCTTAAGACCAGCAAAAATCAAAGTATCTGAGAGCTTTCAACAGCTCCAGAGACGCTGTTGACAACACAGATGAAGGTTTGGTAATACAGCTGTCCTGCATGCAGCTACTTAGTGACTTCTTAAAATGTATGGCTGGGACAAGTAATGAAATGTTATTATTACTAAGGGTAGAAAGGGACATATTTGGAAAGGAAAGGATTTGTTGCTAAAGACCATTTGCTGTCACCCTTCGCTTTGCCCTTGCGAAATAAGAGGGAAGAAGGCAAAATCAGGACAAGCAGATGGACAGTAGACACTGAGCAGTGTTTTGGGCGAGAGGGTGAAGGGAAAAAAAAGCTCCTGATGACAATTGCTCTTTGTTTAATCTTTGTACTTTTACACCCAGTGGGCCTGCGAGATCTGCACTGGATAATGCCTGACTGCAATAGACTAAACAATGATTTACCAGCCCTGGTTTATCTGCTGCTGTCCTATGACTGATCAGCATGGTACATTAACCCTTTCCTGTACATCTGCTGGCTCCAGTTTTCCACAAGATGCAGCAGTAAGATAAAACAGGATTTTTTTTGAAGAATATTGGGATTAAATCCTGTCCTAGAAGCAGCAAGAGGCACATGAATGCACTGCCCTGGAGCTATGCTCATCTCTTCATAGTACAGAAGACATTTTGCGATGATGACTATGCCAGAGCAGTATGTTGCAGTTGTGGCCCTACTGGATGCTTCTTCAGCATAAAACCCCAAAAGGAGCAGTGGGGGCTTCAGCCATGAGTGCTGCTCAGCCCAACCCCAGTAGCAGGGAGTGGGGCACCTCGGCTGGCACCTGAAACACGCTTTTGGAGCCGTCTGGGGCTCGCCTATAATACCAGCTAGAGAGGAGGAACATCAGCTTTGCAGATCCCGCCCTGCTTAAGTGCTTAGCTTCACTTGTGCTGGCAAAGGCTGTCTCTGTTTACCTGGGATACGCTCACCTGGCCCTGTGGGAAGAAGAATGCAGCTTCACCTCCAAGAGACAGAGCTGAGCTTGCTCTTTTCTTTAAATAAAGAGGAAAAAAAGGGATGTGTGTATGGCACTTCCCTTTAAGATAGTCAACCATGTTCAGTGCCCTCCATATCCAGAGGCAATTCAAAGATTCATCCCCTAGTTTCCCCACAAGCATCCTTGCTCTTGGGACTGATGGCTTTTTGGGAGCATGAGGAGCAAGCCCCTCTTCTGCTGAAGCTGGGTCACTGAGACTCATGTAGTTAGTTCAAGGTCTACTGAGATAAAGGAATTAGGAATCTATAGCCTACTGCTTAATGCACCCTCCGAGAGGGAAGGACCCTTCAGTTCCTGTCACTGCACTGTGGGCCACTAATGTTCTTTAAGTGGAATAGCTGCCTAATGTAAAACAGCCCTTGGCACCAGTATATGAAATTCCAGATTTTTCCTCCTAGCAGCGGGCACGTACAGCCCAGCTCATTTTTGTTTTCTCATTCCAGTTGCTTCCATCCGTACGTGTAACACAGGTCCTGAGTTTGGGGTTGAGCCACCAGCATCGCTGGTGATAAAGGAAGAAGAGTAAGATCCAAACCTGGCTGCACGCCTGGGCTGGCTCAATGGTACCAAAAAATAAATTGATGAAGATTGCTGATTTAAGTGGGGGGCAAACAGGAGGCTTTTACTTCGAAGCAGTAGCTGTCATGTCTCTCTTGTTTGAAATATGTTGGTGTCATCCTTAGGATCATTTTGCATTGCCAGCAAGAAGCAACTACATTAGGATGTACCTGAGGGCAAAGGGAAGCAAGCAGCTGGTACTCAGGGTTCTCAGTGTGAGAAGCTGCCTGGGTAGCTGGGTTGCGTGAGACATTTGCGTCAGAAGTCCCCTAGGAATCTGGGAACGAAAAGGAACATGGATCTGCTTTACTCCTCATCCCTCCTGCAGTAATAATGTCTTCCTTTGAAGATGGAATCTGATGGGTAGGTGCCTACTGGAACCCCTGATATGGGTCCAGCCCTGCTAGGTTGGCATAGAAGGGCACCATGCATCTCTCATCTCCTAGAGGTCCATGATGCACGCTGCAGCTTGGTAAAACTAAGGAGACGTACTCTAAACTGGGTTTTGCCTTTCTTTCAAACATGATTTGAACCATGCACAAGATTTTCCTACAGATAAAGGCAGTGGGACTGCTACACTTGATACATTTGAGCAAACTCTCCTCAAAGAGAATCATATCTTAGCAGAACCCTTTAAAATACAGACTGTTCATAGTCAATCTGGTAAACTGGATTCCGCTGCCCTTCAACAGGCTTAATGGAGGCAAAGTCTCACTTTGTTCAAGTGGCACTGTGTTCACGTAAAGGGAACCAAGATTTTACCCTGTGCTCTAAAAAGAACTTGTTGAGCCAGTTGCAATTCTGTGCTGTGGCTGCTTTGTGCCAGTCTAGAGCTACGGACTTACCATAAATTCAGCTTAACTCACCAGTTAAAATGCATTTATGGTTGCTCTGCGATGCTGGAGTGATGCAGGGCAGCCAGCACTTAACAGTGACTAGCAGTGACCTGGCTTTTTACAGTAGTCATTTGTGTTGCTGCAGCTGCGCTTTAGGGCTTGATTCTCATTTGCCGATTTCACACTGGCTTGAAGAGAGTGCTCATTTACACTGATAAGATTGAAGTGCCTTTATAGCTCCCATCAGATCAGGCAGTGACTTTGAAGAAAATAAACCTCTGATTTTAGACAAAGAGCTGGAGTGTAATAAAAGCTGCGTGTTATCCTTCACAGGCACCTTGAATAAGGCCACAGGGAGCGAAAGGGAAAGACTGGAAAGCACAGCCTTTTCTCCTTTAGTTTTATGATTTACATTTTCCTAGGCCATTGATTTTTTTGGTCTCTAATTAAAGTCATAAGAGTGGGTGAGGTGAGTGCTTGCGTCTAGTATAGATGGCCACCTGTGTCACTTAATGACCCAAGATACTAATTATAGGTGGAGGTGACTTCAGAGGGCTATTTGCAGTCAGGAATTTCAAGTAGCAAAACTTTTCTGCAAGAAACACCCAAAGTGTTTGCTTTCTGGCCTTGTTTAAAGGCAAGGATAACCAGAAGGGTTGACACCACAGGGGAGAGGCAGGCTATAAACGGGGTAGCTCTCCTACCTGCTGTCACACATTCTCTATTGACATTCCTCAATGTGCTCTTTGGCCTTGGCCATCACTGACTCTTTGCCATAGAAATGTGACAGTAATGTACAGTGATGCTGCCTGCTTGTGGTGTTTCATTGACTCTCAGCATCTCGGGGAGAAAGATGAATTGCGGTAGTCTCATTTTCAGTGCAGTAGCTTCTTCCGAAGGACCTCTGGGTAGCTTGGTAATACCGCTAGTTAAAATGACATTCAGCAGTGGCAGAGAGTTTTGTTTTCTCTGAGGCTGCCAGCTCTTCCTCAGCCATCTGTCCTTTTGTCACCGTGAGAAATGATTCTGGAGCTGTGTGGTTCATGGGGCAGCACAAGACCCCAAGGATATTTTAACAAGCGTATCGTGTAGCTCATTGCTCATGTAGGTAAAGTGGATTTCTTCAGTGGTGCATATTTTCTGTCTTGTGATGGGTAGCATTCATGAATTACTGCCTGAGCAGAGTTTAAACACCATTTACTTGGCCTGCTGGATAATTCAGACTGTTTTCTGCTATGCTCCTTCAAGGGGAGAAAGATGCTTTGAAATCACAAGGACCTCTCCTGAAGAGAAAGAGCAGAACGGTCGCCTCATATTTTACTTTCTGAATGGCAAGAAATGGTAGCTGTGGATTTGGTTTGCTTGCAATAGCTTTTTGTCTGTTTTATTTTTCCAGAATAAGGAAGTGACATGCAAAAGGGAGAAGTGTCCAGTGCTCTCCAAGGACTGTGCTCTCGTCATTAAGCAGAGAGGAGCTTGCTGTGAGCGTTGCAAAGGTGCGCTTCCCTTCCGGTTGTTTCCCTCTTCTTAAAATGTTATCGATTCACATCTGTGTTGACAGAGATTGGACAAAGTTGGGAGCTTCTCAGCTGGGACTTACTGTCACCAGAGGCTAGAAAAGGACATTAAACATAATTAAAATTAATAGGTTTACAAAGCTGGTGGAGAATGCATAAATTCGTGTATGTGTCCTGTAATTATTAGTTCTTGCACAGCAGCAGTCCTTTAGAAATACATCTTTACTGTACTTTGTTGGCATGTTGTCAGTCTTTTGAAGGGATATGTCCTTTGTAACTATCAGAAATATTTTAGATCCACAGCCATCTGCTAGTAGCAACCAGTCAGTACGAATTCCTTAACCTTTTGTGTGGTTGGACAGAATAGGAATAATGCTTCTGAGTAATGAAGAGGAGAGTAATTATCCAGGACTCTTTTTATTTCTCCTCGTATTAGAAACAAATCAACCAAATGCTGTTTATTTCCCTAAATGTTCCTGATTAAAATCATCATATCATGGATCCTTTTATTAAATCTGAAATGGGCAACAATCTGAACATATACATTTATTTCTTGACCAACACTGTATTTTCCAAGCTCTTTAGAATGAGATAATTATCAAATAAATGCATATATATATATAAAATTAATAAATTGTGTAAGCATTCTTATCTATGAAATATGTGCAAGTAGATGAAGTTGAAAACCAGTCTTTTTTTTATACTGATACAGTAATATACTCTAAAATACTGATTTTGCTGAGGGACTGCTGATGCAGTCAACGAGGTGGAGAATGTCATACTGAGACAGCTTTATTTTTCTCTGTTGTTTAATTCTCCAGTGGTGACGGAGTGTTTCTGAGGGGGAGATAGGGTAGGATAAATTGTTGGGAGATGCAAACGTTTATTGCCTTCCCAAAGGGAAATACAAATGCAGGAAAACAGATTATGCTGAAATTCAGATGGAAGAGACATGATGGATATGCATTTTTCCTGGATGGTTGCAGAAGTGTGTTAGCTGCTGCTGTGCTCAATCTTTGCTTCTGTGCTGCAACTTTGAAATAGGTTTGGCAAGCCACAGTTTGAGGACTTGTCTGGAAGTCTGACACTTAAAAGGAACTGAAATAAAAAAGTTAAAGCATTATTGAAACAGATTTTACATAAATGCAATTTATTTCTTTTGTCAAATTGTATTTAATGTCAGCTTTATAGCAAAAGATTCCTGAGTGTTGCTTTGATTAGGCCAGAGGTTGATTTTTCATTTCCATAATGGGATGTGTAGTTAGCAATGGCCTGAAAATTTTATATACATACATATGCATATGTGCACGCATGCATGCGCACAAAAACAAAAGGTTTCAAAGTTGAGGACACAGATATTATTTTAATATATTATTTTAATTCAGACTCCTTGTAAGGTTCTCTGTTTATCCTGAACTGGGGGGCAAGTAACTACAGAAAATTACTAATAGGCTTGAGCCTGTCATCTGCAGATTGCCTGACATATCTAATGGGAAAATTAATAGAAACTGTTCAAAAACACAATCAGGAGGCACATGGATAATTGTGATGTAAGGGGAAAGAGTTATGTCTTCCAAAAGTCCTAGTCCTTTTGAATGTATCAGTCAGCATATGGACAGAGATACCCGACTAATAGGCATACAGCAAGATCTCTCACCAGAAGCTGCTAAAGAAACTTTAGTAGCCCTGATTTTGCAGAGAAGCACTTCTCATCAGTGAATAACTAACAGGTGGTGACAATGAGTGGTTGTTTTCATAGTGGAAAAGGTTACCAGCAGATCATAGCAAAGATCTCAACTTGTCAGTGTGCTCAGAAATGAGCTAGAAAAGGGGTGTAGAGGGACAGAAAGCTTCCTGCTGATGACCTCTCTTTAGCTTAGTAAAGGAGGAGGGCTGCCTGTCAGGAGTTGAGAAGGGTCTTAACACACTGCACAACTGATGACAAAATGGCAAAGGAAGTTAACATAGATGGGAATAAACATGTGCACGCAGGACAAAACAATCCTAACTACAGATCCAGTAACGGGCTCTGAGCTGGCAGTTACCAATTAACAACTGTTTCTCAGTGTTACAAAAGATACTTCTCTGGCTGGATCAGCTCAACCCCAGTAGCTCTTCAAAGGGAAAACTGAACGTTGGGTTTACTAGGAAAGCAATAGGGTACAAACCAGAATGCTCTGATATTTTTCTGTGTGAGACCGCAGTGTCTCCACTGAGGGAATATCAGGTAGGCTGCTTGTTCTCTCTCCTCTGGAGGCTAAGGTAGAGCTATGGAGCTTGCACTGTATTTTTCACTTTGCCATGGGTATCTGTTGTTGGCTGCTATCAGATACTTGCCTAGAAGGACATTTCTGAATGAGTTTTTCTCCTCTTTCTGAAAGGTAAAGCAAAATATGCACCTATATACCTATAGCAGTCCTGACACCACACACTGTCACCAGGTTGTTCTGGTGCTATGGGAAGATGTTGATGGAGCCAGATCTACCTCCTGGGAGGCTGCTTGCTCTCCTGGCACTCCAAATGTTGCTGAAGCTCTTGCTGTGTAATGCGGGTATGGGGAATATTTGGGGAATCATGGGTGCAAATGCCTGCCTAGCACTTCACCTACTCCCTTTGGTATTGCAGCAGCTCCCTGGCACTCCCTGTGTGGAGCTGAGATGCAGCCAGGACTTTGCCCTGCAGTGCTTGTTCTCAGTTCTATTTTGTCAGCCTGCCAGAGTGCCCATAGGGAATGCAAGCAGGAAAAGGGAAACAGGGCTTTTTCTTTTTTTTTCTGATTTATTCTTTCTTTTTTTTTAGACTGGTTTCATTTCATCTAAACGTGAAAAGAATATTACAAAGAAAAGACATCAGAACCTGATGGCTTTTTTCTTGGCTTCATTCCTGAAGCCTAGAAGAGCTTAATCAGGCCTTAGGGGCTCTTGCCAGCTCTATTTGATAGCTTCATGTCTTCCTACCTTGTGAAGAAATGAATGAATGAATGAATGCATGAATGAATGAATGGTTGTTGTCATTTGAGCACATCATCAGCATGATGACATCAAGACCAAAGGGTATGTTTCCAGAACTGGCTTCTGTAGGAAGGAAACCGCCACTCATGAGTCATTCGTGACACTGCTGCCAGGATATTTTTTCTGTTGTGAGGAGTGCATAAGGACTGGGTATGTAGGCCCAGTATCTCTGATAGCAGAGAAGCAGTCTGATACTATATACCTGCCATGGTGCATCCAGATGAAATCCCATATTAAAAGCCGTGCACACAGGAGAAATGGAATTGTTGGCAGACAGTGGTGAGCATTATCTCCCTTGCTTTGATTTGGGTATTTCTATGCCACTTAGATAATTTTTAGCACTTTATTTCATTTTTCTTAATAAAAAAAAAGTAAGAAACAGCAGCAAGTATAGCTTCTGCAGTCAGAAAACTCACTGTGGTGGAAACAACATGTTATCCCTCACATATTAAAAGATTTGGCTTAAGATTTTAATACACCAGACTAGCAGTGTGTTTGAACACTGTTTTTGTCTTTAAGCCCATAGGACCTTGGATAGTAAAGTCTGTGAGGCAAGGCTCGCTTTTGCTGTGTGTTTGTGCAGAGTCTGGAACAGAGAAATGTGAGCCCATGATTATGGCTCCCTGCTGCAAGGAGAATGCAAACAACTAAGTATAATAGCACAGATTTTCAGAGAGGTTAGTCTTCTAACAGGTACTAAATGCAGCTTATAAAACATACCCTATACCTCTAGCATACTATTCATTTTGAAAATATTAAAAATATTAAGCCCTTTCATTACTTTAGCATAGGATAAATAGGCCACTTTTCATCTCTCATTTTATTTCATATGTTTAATGAAAACGTATGAGATCACTGAGATTATAGAAATAGATTTGGCAGCATTTTCTTATTTAGTTAGATGGAGACCTGTCACTTGGATGTAGAGCTCTCTACACCTCTAATAATAACTTACTTTCTCTCTGAAGAAGTGGTATTACTGGCTCAGGGCTGCATAAAGTTTGCCTTTCTAAAATGGTGCTCCATATTCTACTCTCTTATCCTAAGAATCTGAATCTTCTATGGATGTGCAAAGACAAAGTTGGTGGGTATTTGTAGTAAGAGATTTCTTCTGAAGTTTCTTTCACTTCCCATGTGCGGTTTTGCTTTTTCTGCCCTTGTAAACTTCTGAGGATTACTGTGGGTTTTTTTTTGCTGTGTGTTTCATTTTCATAAATCAACGATCTTAGAGGTTCACGAGCTGTGTTTCATTGATCTGGAGTCTACAGAGAATGGAATCACAGCCCAGGCAACAGCAACACTAGTTCCCTGTAATATTGAATATTCAAAGCTATCGTAGCTAATTGGGCATTTCTTGGATATCAAATATGGCTGAGGATTGCAGCCAATTTCAACTGTTAGGGCTGGCTTGCAAGGGAAGTTAGAGGGAGGTTATGAGTTTATCAGTGCTCTGGGTACTCTACTAAGGCCCTGCAGAGGCCATACATGCATTCAGCACTTTGCCTGTGGACACCCCTAGTATGAGATACCTGATACCAGTTTGGTGCCCTGCTGTAACACTGATCAGTTGGGGCTTTGTGTGGGGCCCTGCTCAGCACTATAACTTGCAGCTCATCCTTTCATGCTCTAAGGCAAGCTTGCAGAGACAAGGGTGCAACCCAGTACGTGGATGGAGGGTGATAGCCTGGGAAGTTCATAATCTAGTCCTGCCATCTGTCAGAGACAGGTTATGGAAAGAGATGTTTTGAGGACATAATCAAGTCTTACTTTTTTTCTTGGCCTTTCTTACTGCCTCTTAGTCTCTCAGGCTTTTGGTGATGTGCTCCAGCTCTGAACCAGGACTCCTGTTTCTTGAGATTGGAGGTTTGCCTCAGCTTTCATTCAATTTCTAGCTTTGTATTTCAAGCAAAGGCAGGGGTTTTGAAGCAGTGACATACAGCCACTAAGGACAGTATCATCCACTATCAG